CTGCCAAAGGCAAGCTGCAGACTACTGCACATCCAGGGTGCACGGGAAAGAGGCCCAGGGAACCTACCACCGTCTGGGGCGCTCCGTACCTTTTCTACCCACCTGGAAACCCCCTCCGCAGGGCCTCAGGTTGTTACAAAACCCAGGATACCAAGAGCCCTGAAGCGCCCGCTGAGCATCCTGCAGGTGGCACACGCGTCCCTCCTCTGCGGGGAGCTCGGCAGCCCCCAAGGGGCGACCCAGCAGCCCCTACCCCAACCAGAAACACTCTGCCGGCTGAGCCAGTGATACCGCCCCCTCTGTCCTGGCCCCGCCTCACGTCTCTGCCCCCGCCCACTTAGAGGAACTGGCGCTTGGCGATTGGTGAAACGGCGGAGGCGGGGCTCCGGGAGGTGGACTGAGGGGGCGGGACATGGTGGGGGGCGGGGAGCCGACAAAAGCCGGGAAGAGGCAAATGATCCGACCCGCCCTTTAGTTCCTGGGTTTCTGCAGAGGCGGGGGCCCCAGCAGCTGGGGCCCGCTGGGACTGCCTGTGTGTGCGCGTGTGAGTTTGGGCGTGTGTGGAGCTGTGGTGCCACCGCTCCTCGCCAGCGCAACATCCCCTGCAGGTAATCTTAGGCTCCGAGAAGCGACTCTGGTCCCTGGCTGTTGGGAGAGACTGATTCCGCCAGTGGTTAGAATGGGGAAAAGAATACAGCTCAGAACTTGGGTGTGGAGAGAGAAACTTGGCGAAGAGGCCTGGGTGCAAGGAAGAGAACAAATTCAGTTACTGGGTGTCGGAAAGGGAAAGGAAGGGGGAAGGGGCTGTGGATGGAAGACTCGATCTTAGACTTGGGAGGGAGAAATTGTGTAGCAAGGAAGTTGAATGCAACGACAAGTGGAAAAGACCAGGTCTGCCACGGGCTGGAAAGACGAAGGATGGGTGGTTCCAAGGACTACAGGCAAGAGGAAGAGAATGTGCGGCAGGGGGAGCTGGATACAAAGAACGGTGTAAGCTGCGGACTTGGGCGTGCACAGCGTTCTTGGGGGGTGGGGGCTGGTCGCGAGGCCCTGCAGAAGTGTCCTCTTGGGGGCGTGGAGGGGGGCGGAGCTCTGTCGGCTATCGGGGTGTTGGTTAGAGCCTAGAAACCCCCGCCTCCGCCGGGATTTCGAGTTTGGGAAGAGGCGTTCCCAGGCCAGCTCCCGGTGCCTGGGCTTTAAACGTCCGAGCACCCCAGAGGGAAGGGGTGGGCGTGGAGACCAGGAAAAAGGAACCGAGGCAGCTTGGTTTGCAGCCCTCTTGCACAAGGAACGGCCATTAGGACGTCCGCAGGCCAAGAGCCTGCTGGTCATAGCGTCGCCCAAGGACGTACAAACCTCAAGACCTGTTGACGACGAGCCAGGAACACGCCCTTGGATTCACCCTCCGGTGTGTGCACGCTGATAATTTGTACTCCTTTGGCCTTTATTTGCCTGCTGACCTAAAGCTACCCTTTGCCCCTTTGGGTACACTCAGCAGTGTACTTTAAACCAGGTCCGAGGTGCCTGGCCGATATTAAAAACAGCAAAATCCAGACGGGTGTTTTGTATGTTAAGATTCTATTCCTTGTTTTTGTTTTGTTGTTTTTCTTCTTTAGGTGATAAACTGCATTCAGTTGTGTGTGCAAGATTGGAAAGAGTTGGCGTGATTAGAAATTGATTCACTGTAAAGGTTTATTGAAGTCAAAATGTCTAAAAAAATATGTGGCGGTTCTGTGGTAGAGATGCAAGGAGATGAAATGACCCGAATCATTTGGGAATTAATTAAAGAAAAACTCATTTTTCCCTAAATTGATTCCCTGTAAAGGTGAGAATTGGCAGTACTGGGTTTAATTGGTCTTTCAGGCAGGCCTTACATAGTGCAAGGAGAGTGAGTCAGGAATATTTCCAACCATAAGTTGCAAATGTTTCCTTGTTTCTTTTAACCCAGAGTTTTCTCTGCAAGAGACTACTTTTGCCCAGAAATTACAATAGTTCATGAACTCAGTTAACTCAGTTAAGTTCATGAACTGTTAAAAAAGAAAAGAAAAAATCTGGCCAAATAAAACCTTGGGGTTGATGAAAATAAATAGTGTGAGATAGTCTTTTTTTTCTTAAATTTGTCTCACTATTATTTCAGGCTTATTTTCTCAAATTGCACAATATGTCAGGAGGTTGGAATTCAGCTACTTTCAGACTAAACGAAGTGGTAGTGACTGCCAGGGTTGGAACAATCCTTTCTTCTGAAGTTGGGGTTGGGGTGGAGACAGAATATCTGAGGAGCAAGGGTGGAGAAGTGGGGCCTAAAGCTCATCTCATAGAAATTAAATCCAGAAAAAATACGATGGTATGGTATTCTACATAGTTGTGACAATAAGGCTTCACTTTTAAGGTAAAGGGTAGTGAAAATTTAGTGGACAGGTATTGTGGAGAAAAGCAAAATGTTTCAGTTATACCTTATGAGCTCTTCAAAGATTATTGCAGAGAAAATGTTTGCTTTAACTGAGAAGGAAATAATGTACTGGAAAAAAAAAAACCTCAGTCTTGACATTTTAAGTATAATATATGACCTATTAACTATTTACAATCAAGAAAAATAGCCAAGTGATAAATGTTGTGTAATACTACATAGGAACATAGCCATAGTATTGAACCAAGATAAATTTGCTGCCTCTTTTTTTTTTTAAATGGTAGTGTGTGCATGTATGTGCTAGAAAGATGCACCCTCAACAGGGTTTTGTCACTCTGCAATCTTCTCACCAGCCCTCCAGCTCAAGATTCATTTTTCTAGCATGTTGTCAGCCCACTCAGATCCAAACCCACGGTTCTCATATGGCTTCCAGCCTTGCACTGTAGTTAAGACAGCTTGTTTCACCACTGTAGCTTAGTCACTTTCTTTTCATTTTATTTTGTTTTGTTTTAAAACAAGGGCAGGTTGGACAGTGGAATCAAGTCTGACTTTAAACTATACAGTAAGTTATATTTGAAATTATAAACAGGAAGTAATTGACTTTCTTAAAGAATTATTTTATTGATCTTTATTAATTTTATTTATTATTTATTTTAATTTGACCAGAGAGGGACAGAGAGAGAGAGAGGGAAAGTGAGAAAGCAAGCCACCAGGTCCAGGACTCAAACCGCAGTTAGCCATGTGGGAGTCCAGCACCCTCAACCATCATGCCACTTGCTGGCCCCAGGAAGTAATTGACTTGTCCACACCAGTTTGTTCAGTTCTTTTTATTCAAGTTGAATTCCAGAAAGTTTCCCCAAAATGGTCTAGAGAACTTCATAAATACCAGTAAGCATGATTCTAGAATTGCAAATTTGGGAAGTGAAAATGGGCCTGGGAGTTTAGGTGTGTCCTGGCTTTTCACAAGAAACTAAGCATACTGTTCACTAATCACTACATTTTTTTGCTTAAAGGCTGAAATACTTTAGCTTCATTTTTTTAGAGAGATTTTTGCCACAGGGCACATGCGCTTGCTGGAGAGACAAACAGAAAGCAAGAAGTCACTCCCCAGGGGACATGGTCACTCTGGAGTCCCTTTTCCTCCATTTTTCCTCTTGGGATCTGGGGCATGCATGCACACACATGCCAGGCGTGAATTTTAAGCCACTGGGTCATGGACTCAAACCACAGCCAACTATCTGGGAGTCCAGCAGCCTAACCATTACACACCCTGCTGGTCCCAGCTTACCTTTTTTAAAGAGACTTGGGCCTGGCAGGTGGCATAGTGGTTAAGGTGCTGGATTCCCATGTGGCCAACTGCGGTTCAAGTCTTGGACCGGGTGGCTTGCTTTCTCACTTTCTCTCTCTAGCTCTCATTCTGTCTCTCTGGTCAAATTAAAGTATGTATAAATAAATAAAGTTAAATAAAATAATTTTTTTAAAAAGAGAAAAGAAAGATTAAGAAACTGCTTAATGCCTCTTACCTAATATTTGTTTAAGGCAGTTTTCCTGATTGTTCTGTTCCTCAGTGTAACTTAAGGGGGTAAAAGTAATGTGCAGTTCTGTTGCTGAGGGGAATAAAAGTTTCTGTTCTAGCATCCTGATAAGAAACAGATACTTCAGTAGGCTCAGGGCTTCCTGTGCCTCTCAGAGAATATCCTGACCTTCCTTGGAGTTTCAGTGTTTCATTTTTTCCAAAGAATTCACCCATGCCCTTTCTGAGCATCAGATTGATTTGTATTTGCTACCCTAACACCATATTCCTTAAAGTGACTCCTCTTCCTAGAACAATGCTCCTTCCCCTGCCTACCCACCAGCAGTTCACCCTTGCCCAGAAATAGCCTGTGGAACAGTCCAGCAGTTGGGATACTGAGAAACGTGGAAGGGACATGTTTGGGTCTTGGGCAGTAGCCTTCTATATACAGATTTCTCACTGAGAAGTCACTTTTGTATTTAGTTCCACATCTCCGGTGTCTGTTGTCTCTGGGAAACTATAGTTCCGCTAGAGATTCTTTGTCACTTTTTGACTTAAAGTTTTCTTGAATGTGGGTTAAAGACACAGTTGAATCTCTTCAGGAGTAATTATTTTATAAAACACCCCCCTCAAAGAGAGGACAGAGGACCAGAAGATGGCATAACAGTTACACTGCTGGACTCCCATGTAAGTCAACCACCATTTAAGTCCCAGACCTGGTGGTTTAAAACTCACTCCAGGCATGTGTGCATGCATGCCCAAGATTCTAGAAGGAGACTGGAAGAAAAGGGGATGCAGTGTGGTCATCCCTCCCCTGGGGGTGGGGGGTGATTTTTACTTTCTGTCTCTGTCTCTCTGGCAAGCCCATGCATCCTATAGCAACAATCTCTCTTAAAAAAATAAAAATGGGACCAGCAGTTAGCGTAATGGCTATGTCACTGAATTCCCATGTAGTCGATTACGGTTCAAATCCTGGACCCAGTGGCTTAAACTCACGCCAGGTGTGTGTGCGTGTGTGCCCAAGATCCCAAGAGGAAAATGGAGGAGAAGGGATTGCGGCGTGAATATCCCCCCTGGGGGGGGTGATTTCTTGCTTTCTATCTCTCGGTCTCTCTCTGTCTTTCTGGCGAGCTCACGTGCCCTATAGCAAAAACCTCTCCAGAAAACAAAATACAACAACAGCAAAAAAAATGACATCACTAATCACTACATTTTTTTGCTTAAAGGCTGAAATACTTTAGCTTCATTTTTTTAGAGAGATTTTTGCCACAGGGCACATGCGCTTGCTGGAGAGACAAACAGAAAGCAAGAAGTCACTCCCCAGGGGACATGGTCACTCTGGAGTCCCTTTTCCTCCATTTTTCCTCTTGGGATCTGGGGCATGCATGCACACACATGCCAGGCGTGAATTTTAAGCCACTGGGTCATGGACTCAAACCACAGCCAACTATCTGGGAGTCCAGCAGCCTAACCATTACACACCCTGCTGGTCCCAGCTTACCTTTTTTAAAGAGACTTGGGCCTGGCAGGTGGCATAGTGGTTAAGGTGCTGGATTCCCATGTGGCCAACTGCGGTTCAAGTCTTGGACCGGGTGGCTTGCTTTCTCACTTTCTCTCTCTAGCTCTCATTCTGTCTCTCTGGTCAAATTAAAGTATGTATAAATAAATAAAGTTAAATAAAATAATTTTTTTAAAAAGAGAAAAGAAAGATTAAGAAACTGCTTAATGCCTCTTACCTAATATTTGTTTAAGGCAGTTTTCCTGATTGTTCTATTCCTCAGTGTAACTTAAGGGGGTAAAAGTAATGTGCAGTTCTGTTGCTGAGGGGAATAAAAGTTTCTGTTCTAGCATCCTGATAAGAAACAGATACTTCAGTAGGCTCAGGGCTTCCTGTGCCTCTCAGAGAATATCCTGACCTTCCTTGGAGTTTCAGTGTTTCATTTTTTCCAAAGAATTCACCCATGCCCTTTCTGAGCATCAGATTGATTTGTATTTGCTACCCTAACACCATATTCCTTAAAGTGACTCCTCTTCCTAGAACAATGCTCCTTCCCCTGCCTACCCACCAGCAGTTCACCCTTGCCCAGAAATAGCCTGTGGAACAGTCCAGCAGTTGGGATACTGAGAAACGTGGAAGGGACATGTTTGGGTCTTGGGCAGTAGCCTTCTATATACAGATTTCTCACTGAGAAGTCACTTTTGTATTTAGTTCCACATCTCCGGTGTCTGTTGTCTCTGGGAAACTATAGTTCCGCTAGAGATTCTTTGTCACTTTTTGACTTAAAGTTTTCTTGAATGTGGGTTAAAGACACAGTTGAATCTCTTCAGGAGTAATTATTTTATAAAACACCCCCCTCAAAGAGAGGACAGAGGACCAGAAGATGGCATAACAGTTACACTGCTGGACTCCCATGTAAGTCAACCACCATTTAAGTCCCAGACCTGGTGGTTTAAAACTCACTCCAGGCATGTGTGCATGCATGCCCAAGATTCTAGAAGGAGACTGGAAGAAAAGGGGATGCAGTGTGGTCATCCCTCCCCTGGGGGTGGGGGGTGATTTTTACTTTCTGTCTCTGTCTCTCTGGCAAGCCCATGCATCCTATAGCAACAATCTCTCTTAAAAAAATAAAAATGGGACCAGCAGTTAGCGTAATGGCTATGTCACTGAATTCCCATGTAGTCGATTACGGTTCAAATCCTGGACCCAGTGGCTTAAACTCACGCCAGGTGTGTGTGCGTGTGTGCCCAAGATCCCAAGAGGAAAATGGAGGAGAAGGGATTGCGGCGTGAATATCCCCCCTGGGGGGGGTGATTTCTTGCTTTCTATCTCTCGGTCTCTCTCTGTCTTTCTGGCGAGCTCACGTGCCCTATAGCAAAAACCTCTCCAGAAAACAAAATACAACAACAGCAAAAAAAATGACAGAGCAGGGGACGGTACCATAGTTGTTAAGGGAGCTAGATCCCACGTGGCTGATTGCAGTTCGAGGCCCAGACCAGTCAGCTTGAAAATCATACTGGGTGTGTGTATGCATGTGCCCAAAATCATAAAAGGAGAATGGAGAAGGGATTACGATGTGGCCATTCCCCAAAAGGATATTTTTTTTCATTTTCTCTTTTTTCTCTGTCTATCCAGGGAGCACAAGTGCCCTAAAGCAAATTGGGGGTCAGGGGGAAGAAGGGAAAGTACTAAATATTAACACTATTCTCATTTTGAGGGCCTAATAAAGTAGTACAGGAAAATAATTTCTATCTCTATGTAGGGTGAGTGTGAAGGTTGAGTCAGAAACCACAGATGAAACATATAGCACAGTATAGGGGGAAGGTACTTAATTTTACTGTTAAATGTAATTGTGGTTACTAGCATTTTATGCAATTGTACTATTGTGAATTGTTCTTTTAATAGTAATCAAAATGTTTATATTTCATTTTTACTTTATAATGAAATAAGTAACAAGACATGTATCTGGTCTTTTTCTTTTTTAGGTTTATTGAAGTCAAAATGTCTAAAAAAATATGTGGCGGTTCTGTGGTAGAGATGCAAGGAGATGAAATGACCCGAATCATTTGGGAATTAATTAAAGAAAAACTCATTTTTCCCTATGTGGAATTGGATCTGCATAGGTAAATGAATTATTCCTCCATGCAGCAAACTCAGAAAGCATAATCCAAGTAATTTCAAAGTGCAGTAACTGCTTTTTATATAGGCATAGCTGTGTTTTGTGAATAAAGCTTTTTTTTTAGCCTAAATATATCCAGATAAACATTCTACTTCAATTTTAATATACAGCCAGAAAACTGGATATATCATTATCTAAAAGTCAAGATTTATAAGTGGAGCAAAGTGATTTTTCAGCTCTTTCCAATCCTCTGTTTCCAGTAAAGGTTTTATTTGTCATAAATCAATAACCGAGTGTAAGAGCACAATATATTATTTGTAGAAGGGAAAGTAGTACAGGATGGGAGAAACAGTAAACTAGTGTAGTTCATACAGTTTTGTCCTTTCAGACTCAATTTTCTGTCATCCCACTTAATCAGTCAATGGATCTTGTCTCCTTTTCACTCCTTGCCTTTTGCCCTCGTCAGAGAATTATGGAAGAGAAAGAACCCTAGCAGTTATTAGAGTGAACCCCATCTTCTAACAGAAGTTCCCTTAAATCATCTGTGTCGCTTTACCCTGTGTTCAAAGTATTGGGAGCAGAAGTGAAAGTCTGTGTAATTCTTACGGTTCTTTTCCTGTATTTTTCATAAGCCTGCTTATGTTCTTTGTACATTTGAACTAGACAGACAGGGCTGAAGACTGGCATGGCAAACTGTTAACTAAGACATTTAAGCCAGGCTGTTGGTAACTATAAATGCATTTGCTTCAACCTGGAATTACTTATCAGAATGTGTCCTGAGGACCTGTTAATTGCTTGGATGTAGAGCACATGGTGTTATGAGATAACTCTTTTTGATTTTTTTATACCTAAGCTACTGATAATGATAATGTCTGTATGGCAACCATAATGTAACTATTTGTAGAATTCAGCCAAACATATAGGAAAAGAAGCATCAAAATACCTTCCAAGGGTCAGCAGGTGGTTAAGGCACTGGACTCCCACCACGGTTGGCCACAGCTTGAAAATCACACTGGGCACATGTGTTTGCATGCTCAAAATCCCAAGAAGAAAATAGAAAAGAAAGAAGTGTAGCATGGCCATCCCCTGTGGGAGGGTGATTTCTCATTTTCCCTCTTTGTCTCTTCCTGATGAACGCATGCACCATCTGGCAACATCCCCCTCAAAAAAGTAAAATAAAATAACTTCCAAAACCAGACCCATAGCCTACTGGTTAAAGGAGTTGTATCTTGAACTGGCCAACCACAGTTCAAATCCCAGCCCATCAGCTTGAAAAACATTCCAGGAGCACGTGTATGCATGCCCCATATCCTGACCAGATGGAGAAAGTGGAAGGGATTACAGCATGACCATGTCCCTTTGGAGGGTACTTTGTCCGAATGAGTGCGCATGTGGTTTCTTTCTCTGTTCCTGGCTAGTGCATGTGCTCTCTGATAATGAAGCAAAAGAGCAGCTTCTAAATGGGTTACAGAAGGATTTTCTGAACTCTTTCTTATTTCACAACTACAAGACAATAGGTGAATGTGTTTAATGGCTGCAAAGTTGCTTAGAGCCTCTTCAGCCTAGAGGCATAAGGAGTTTTAAAGGTGACAGTAAAGCCTGTGAGGAAAAGTCAGTGGCTGCAAATTAAAGAATTTTCAGACTCAAAACAGGTTTCAAGCTGTTCCAAAATTGCTCTTTCACTGCAATCCTATACTTTTTGGAGGGTAATAGAGCAGTTATTTTTGTTTGTTTGTTTCATATAGGCTAGACAGTGTTCTTTTAGAAATGTTAAGAAATGAAGCAAAAATCCATTGATTTGCTGGTAGATTCTTCTGATGAGAAATGGTTTCTGGGAACATAAAAACTGCTGACCACATTTCTTTCCGGAGTTAAGATTAGACATTTATAGATATTCAGCATTTCCTTTACAAGGCTTTGTTAGATTTAATGAATTATTTAAGGTGGAAGCAGTTAGAAATTATTTTTTATTCAAAATCGCTATCTGTGCTGGCATCAAGAACTGGAATATCTGAGGAAAGGCAGGTACAAGAACTGAAAAGAAATATCGAGGCTTCGTGGTTCAGCAAGTATTGAGAGCTGGAATGCTTTTCTTTAAAACCTTAGAGAACAAAATCAAATATTACACTATTTCCTGCTTTGGGCCAACTGTTATATAAAACTTGGTGATAATTTTGTGTGTACCATGGATAATCAATAGTCTTTCAGCTCTAAGTGGCATACTCTTTTGATGGTGAGTATGTATTAATACTATAACTCTCTGGTATATACAAAACCATAGCTGGATCCACTATTATACAGTAAACTACAGGCTTCTTTCCAGAATGAGACTTGCCCAAGGATTAGAGAAAAATTTACTTTATGACTGATAATTAATGAAAGACTCATCAGCATTTTTGACATTGACTGTTCAATCTATACCTCCCACCCATTCTTTTTAAAAAATAATTATTTATTTTATTTATTTATTTATTTATTTATTTATTTTTGAAAAATTGCTATAAGACATAGGCACTCACCAGGGAGAAACAGAGAGGAGTAGAGTGAGAAAGCAAGCTGCCGGGTCTGGGACTCAAACCTCAGTTGACCATGTAAGAGTTCAGTGCCCTAACCACCACACCACTTGCTAATCCTTCCTTGTTATTTTTAAAACACAGTGTTTACTAAAGCAAAACTAAAATGGTGCTTAGGCTTTCATTGATATGCTAATTATACGGAGGGAACCAAGCCAAAGGGCAGTTCTTGTGCTGGTACTGCCTCTGTTCTTGGTATTGGCATGGGGTAGGGCTCCATGGTTTCCATTCAATTATGGATAGAGAGCTTTGTGTCTCCAGTGCAGGGAGCCATGGCCCAGCAATTTAGCCTCTCTTAACTCCTTTTTAATTTTTTTTTTTTAAGTTTATTTTTTCATTCCATGAGAGAAAAACAGAGAAACGGGCATCCCAAACAGGATCTTCACACAGGAATGCACCTTTTCTCGGCGGGCCCAGATCACAGGCACACAGGGCTGACAGTGGTGGCCTTCTTCTGTGTTTAGAGTATGTGAATGCTAAAACTTGGCCAATTAAGAAACTGTCAGGAGGGACCAGCAGTTAGCATAATGGCTATGTTGCTGAACTCCCATGTAGTTGACCGCGGTTTGAGTCCCGGACCTGGTGGTTTAAACTCACGCTGTGTGTGTGCATGCACACCCAAGATCTCGAGAGGAGAAGGGAGAAGGAATTACGGCATGCCATCCCCTTTGGGGGATGATTTCTCGCTTTCTGTCTCTCTGTCTCTGTCTTTCTGGCAAGGGCACGTGCCCTATAGCAAAAAAGAACCTCCCCTGCCAGGAAGCTTCACTTTCTGCACAGCAAGCTCTGCAGGCTGTTACTGTGCTCATAGACTATAAGCTGTCTGTCTAAACAGTCACAATTCTCCCTCCCCAGCTATGACTTAGGCATTGAGAATCGTGATGCCACCAATGACCAGGTGACCAAGGATGCTGCCGAAGCCATAAAGAAGTACAACGTTGGCGTCAAGTGTGCTACTATCACCCCTGATGAGAAGAGGGTAGAGGAGTTCAAGCTGAAGCAGATGTGGAAATCGCCGAACGGCACCATCCGAAATATTCTGGGTGGCACTGTCTTTAGGGAAGCTATCATCTGTAAAAATATCCCCCGGCTCGTGAGTGGGTGGGTAAAGCCCATCATCATAGGTCGTCATGCTTATGGGGATCAAGTAAGTCATTTGGGCATCATTTGTTTTCATGTTCCCAAGATGCTGGTTTATACATGTGTTTTACTTTTAGCTTTTGATGTGTGTACCTGTTAACCCAGGTACAAAATTAAGGAATGCATATATGTGTTATTATATATATTTAGTTAGAAGTAGATACAGATAAATTTACAGATAGGCACCCATCTTCGGCATGATTTTTTTTTTTTGAGAGAGATTTTTTGTTATTGGGCACATGCGCTCGCCAGAGAGACAGAAAGTGAGAAATCACCCCCCAAGTGGGATGGCCATACTGCAATCTCTTCTCCATTCTCCTCTTGGGATTTTGGGCACATACACACGCACGCACATATGTGCCCGGCGTGAGTTTTAAGCCACCAACCAGGTCCAGGACTCAAACTGCGGTCGACTACATGGGAGTCCAACAACGTAACTATTATGCTGTCTGCTGGTTCCCAGCATGATTTTTTAAAACACTTTTTCTTTCCATTATTGTTTTATTAGGTTATACCTTAAGATGCTCCCATTTTTGTGTTGGTAATTTCATAATGTTGTCCACCCAGATTGGCAGTTTTCAACTACGACTATACAGCAAGATCCTTTTATAAGTTTTTTGGTGGTTTTATTTTGTTTTACACTTTTTATACCTTATTTTAATCCCCATGCCTGAATCCCACTCTATTGAAACCTGAAATCTGAATTCTAAGGGTTTCATGCATTGTAAAGCTCCCCAGGTGATTCCAAGGTGCAGACGAGTGAAAACCATGAAGGATTATATTGAACATGATCACTATGCCTAAGAAGAAAAACTGACTCAATATTTAAAAACAGTCTCTTTGGGCCAGCAGGTGGTGTGGAGGTTAAGGCAGCTGGATCACACATGGCTTACTGCAAGTCCCAGACCCAGCAGCTTAAAAAACACACCGAACATGTGTGGGCATGCCCAGAATCCCATGAGGGGAATGGAGGAAAAACGATTGAAGGGATTAGCGAGTGATTTCTCCCTCTCTCTTTCTCTTTCTCTTTCTCTCTCTCCTCTCTCTCTCTCTCTCTCTCTCTCTCTCTCTCCTGCCCCCACCACCCGAACACACACATCCTACAGCAAAAGCTTTAAAGAGAATCTTCTCTTTAAAGGATTCTCCACTGCTTGGGAAATAAGTGTAGTTTTTATACTTTTGCCCTAATAGGCTCTTTGCCAAATTAAGCAGAAAGAGTGCCAACTAAACCAAATCCAAATTCTGTGTTGAAACAAAGGATTCAGACTTTCATAGAAAGTAGCTATGTCTTACAAGAGCCTTCAAAACAGGAATCTCTTGGGAACCAGCAGTTAGCGTAATGGCTATGTCGCTGAACTCCCACGTAGTCAACCGCGGTTTGTGTCCCAGACCCGGTGGCTTAAAACTCACGCCGGGCGTGTGTGCGTGCGTGCCCAAGATCTCAAGAGGAGAATGGAGGAGACGGGACTGTAGCGTGACCATCCCCTCTGGGGGGTGATTTCTCGCTTTCTGTCTCTCTGTCTCTCTCTGTCTGTCTGGCGAGTGCACACGCCCTATAGCAAAAACCTCTCCAAAAAAACCAGGAATCTTTTATGGTGAAATCCAGAGGCTTTAATGTAGCTGTCTCTCTTTTTTTTTTTTTTGAGAGGGTTTTACTAGAGGGCATGTGGCAGAAAGAGACAGAGTCAGAAAGCAAGAAATTACCCTCAGGGAGGCTGCCCCTACCGCAATCCCTTCTCCATTCTCCTCTCAGGATCTTGGGCACACACACACACGCCTGAGAGTCCAGTGCCCTTAATTACTATACCACCTGCCGGCCCCAAGAATGGCTAGTTTATTTTTATTGAAGTCTAGTTTGAACATTCCAGACCTCAGATTTATCCACTGGTTGTTTAAATGTGCATAAACCTATACAAAGCATTGATATTAATATGATTTTAGCCCCTCCCTTTCTTCCTCTTGAGACATGGGCATAAAGCATCACCCAGAGTGAAGACTTTGTATTTCAGAAGCATTCTTCATGGCATAGATATTTAATCTTCATGGTTATCTGACTGCTCTTACCACCTGTAGGTAGTGTTTCTCTAAACCAGTAGGAGTGGCTGGCACCTGCTGACACCTGACCCTGCAAGTATTTTAGTCCAGGTCATTGTAGAAGGTACAGTGCAGCAGTGACTTGTGAGGGCCTCGTGTGTGCTGGGCACGTTTTTCTACTGGAATACCTCTGGCCCGTTACGGAGGTGTCTGTAATGAAAGGCCCTTTCTTAGAGTCATGATCCTGTCACAGCTGATTCCAGAATGATTGCCTCATGGACAAGCCCTGGGCCTGGTGTTAGTAACAGTGATAACTATGGAGAAACTGAGCACTGACGGTGTAAGTAAGGAGCAGACCCCAGCTCTTTTGGCCCTGGATGCATTTTTTCCTCGACATCACATTTCCTTCCTTGTAAGATTGATAAAAGAATCGAATGAGATGGAACCAGCAGTTGGCATAATGGCTATGTCACTGGACTCCCATGTAGTTGACCGGGGTTCAAGTCCTGGACCTGGTGGCTTAAACTCATGCATGTGTCTGTGCGTGCCCAAGATCCCAAGAGGAGAATGGAGGAGAAGGGATTGCGGCATGGCCATCCCCCTGGGGGGTGATTTCTTGCTTTCTATCTCTCTGTCTCTCTCTGTCTTTCTGGTGAGCACATGTGCCCTATAGCAAAAACCTCTCCAAAAAAAAAAAAATGGTGGGGGAGGACTAGCAGAAGGGGACCAGCAGATGGCATAATGGTTACGTTGCTGGACTCCCATACAGTCAACCACGATTTGAGTCCTGGACCTGGTAGCTTAAACCTCATGCCAGGCACATGTGCAGGTATGCCCAAAATCTTAAGAGGAAAATGGAGGAGAGGTCAGTGAAGCGTGACCATCTCCCCAGGAGATGATTTCTTGCTTTCCATCTCTCGGTCTCTCTATGTCTCTCTGGTGAGTGCACGCGCCCTTAGCAAAAAAAAACCTTATCTCTAAGAGGAAAAAAAAAAAGAGAAGATTTAGCTATACTACCCTATTTGTCTAGGTGTTTTCCAACTACATATTCTATGATTTGTTTTTCTTTTAAATCCTATTAGAGTATTTTTATTTGCTTTATGCTTTTTCTCCCTTACACAGTACAGAGCAACTGACTTTGTTGTTCCTGGGCCTGGAAAAGTAGAAATAACCTACACACCAAGTGATGGGACCCAAAAGGTGACATATGTGGTACATAACTTTGAAGGTATGTGTGAATCCATCATAAGCTACATCTTTTACTTTTTAAAATTCTTTAGACAATATCAGTACCTATTTTTTTCTCTTGTTTAAGTTAGCATATGATATGACTGCCTAAAACTACAACCTGAATCTTTAACCTTTCTGTAGAAACAAAATATAAAAAAGGGACCAGCAGTTGGCGTAATGACTATGTCGCCTGACTCCCATGTAGTTAACTATGGTTGGAGTCCCGGACCCAGTGGCTTAAACTCACATGGGGTGTGTGTGTGTGTGTGTGTGCCCAAGATCCGAAAGGAGAATGGAAGAGAAGGAATTGTGGCATGGCCATCCCCCCTGGGGATAAATAAAAGTAATTGGCTTCCATGCCTTCCATGGCATAGATAAAGGCACACAGTGTTAGTCACTAAATTGGAAATGTACATAGGCAAAGATAATTATTATACATTTGTCTTAAGACACACAAGGGAACCAGACCCATAGTGCAACTGTTAAAGGCCTGTGTACAGGGAACAAGATTCCACGTGGCTGACCATGGTTTGGACATTCAAATCAGAGGCTGGAAGATTATTCTGGGTGCATGTGCTTATGTGCCCAAAATCCCCAAAGGAGGGAAAAATGGAGAAGAGATTACAGTGCAGTCATGCCCCACTGGGGGAAAGGTGCTTTCTCTCTGTCTCTGATAAGTGCAGTGCCCTCTGATGATTAAAAAAAAATTAAAAATATAAAAACAAGAAGGGAAGGTTGGCAGGAATCTGTTACACATGAGCTGCATAAATTAAATATTAAGTCCCAAATTAACTACCATGTAATCCTGCCCTTTGCTCCGATAGGGTTTGTATTTGGAAATGGTTGCGTTATATATTTGCTGAAATTTTCTTCTTGCCCTTGTGGGTATTTCTTCTGTTAAAGTGAAATGTTTGCTTTTTTACCTCCTCTTACCCAGCTGTTCTGCTCTTTCAAAAGTTCATTTTGGCCAATCCCACCCAAGAGTTGATTCAAGAACCGCTGGGCATTTTTTCTCCACTGCTAAAGGTGTTGAAAGCCCTCACACAAACAAAAAACCCAGCAACTAGTTTTTGTTTTCCTGGCCTCCTCCAAATAATATTTTAATAGAATCTAGTTCTACAGGTTTGGGCACCTTTCACATCGGAATCCCTGGGTGCTGGCATGGATTCAAGTTCTATCTTTTAGTCATAACAGAATTCTACTAATGAGAATTGTGAAACACCAGTCATTGCATGGAACATATTTTCTTATCTTTTTTTTTTTTTCTTACCAGTTACAATAGGTATTCTCCAGAAAATTATAAGAATTTTTATTTAGTGTTTGAAATGCACATTTTTCTCCATTTCTACAGACTGAGTGTCTCTAAAACTTAAAGTATATGTTAAATTGTTAAAGTATGGAGAGACAGATTCAGAATTCTTCACCCTTTTCTTGACTGTCTTTTTGGTTCACATCAGTAGTTTTTGGTATTTCAGTATCTTCAGGATACTGAAGACCATATTTTTGCTCATCTCTCTTGCCTTCCCTAAACAAGTTAGAATGTCCTTATTTAGAGCTGATTTTCTTTCTGTTACGTGCCTCTGGTGTACTCATGGTTTATTCAGGTGGGGCACCCAAAGTCTGGTCTCAGGGAGCTGAAATTGAGTCCTTTGGTTGTGATGGGTAGCTTTGCTGTGTTACAACTGTGCCCCGTTGACCTTTCTCTTCTTTTTCTCATTGGTTTTTCCTCCACAGAGGGTGGTGGTGTTGCCATGGGGATGTACAATCAAGATAAGTCGATAGAAGATTTTGCACACAGTTCCTTCCAAATGGCTCTGGCTAAGGGCTGGCCTTTGTATCTGAGCACCAAAAACACTATTCTGAAGAAATATGATGGACGTTTTAAAGACATCTTTCAGGACATATACGAGAAGTAATTACAATTCTTTTTCCCCTTTTTCTTTTTTTTTCAAATAAGCTAGCATTTACAGTATAAAATTTGCATCTCTTTATCCCTTTGATTCTGGGACAAAACAAGTAAAAATCATCACCATTCCTTAAAGATAGGGACTGAAGCAAAACCACTCTGAGGTGCTTTTAGAAGGAAACATATTCTCAAAAGGGGACCCATGTTAATTTTTTCCAGAGGCAGGATTATTTCATATTTGAATAAAACTACCTTGTTCATGATAGAAAGTTCTAATTTTTCACATGTGTGGGCTGAGTCAGGCCTGTTTCCATTCTTTCTGAAGACCTTTGTTATGATTTGAAATTCTGCCTTAGTACAGGCATTTGAACTGAAGTCTGCATTGATAATAACTTTAGATTCAACAACATATGAGATGATCCTATGTTACCTTTTAAGAAGGCACAGCTCCCGTTTCAGTGCAATGAGGTCAGCCAGGGCTCGATTATAGATAAGAAATCTTTCCTGAGGCATTTTGATTCTGCTTACTGCTGGCAATTCCATACCAAGCCTAGAAATGTCCTATAATATACCTATTTTCCTCAATGATATAAACAATAGAACAGTGTTTTTTTTTTCTTTATTATATCCATAAAACAAACTGAATCCAAGAATTGTATCAGTAGTATATTGAAACTGTGGAAAATAAAGTAGTTGAAACATTCTGCTCTCTCACTGCATTTTCACACCTTCCTGCGAGGTGGGTGAAATTGCTCTTACATGTGGCTAAATAGAGGTCTCACAGTTAGAAAGGGATTGGGCAAGGATATGAGCCTATGTCTGTTGGATCCCCAGGCATGCTACCTCTATTAAAAAATGCTGCTTCCTGCACGCAGGCCTCTCCCCATTTTTCTCACTCCCACCCCAGTGTGCTAGTAGATGATGTCCCTAACAAAGCCGATTTCCTTTTTCATTATTCTCTGTTCTCTCTTATCTGTTAGGCAGTACAAACCCCAGTTTGAAGCCCAGAAGATCTGGTATGAGCATAGGCTCATCGATGATATGGTGGCCCAAGCTATGAAATCAGAGGGAGGCTTCATCTGGGCCTGTAAAAACTACGACGGTGACGTGCAGTCAGACTCTGTGGCCCAAGGTAAGGAGCCAGGGCACCAAGTGGAGATCCACTTTGGAAACAGAGATTATAGCTACTGTTGTAAAATCAGGAAGCCTTAGCCTCGCAAAGCATCCCGGTCCATCATCTCATCTGAAGGAATTAAACTCAGACTGGTGAAGTCAGTTTACTCAAGGTCACACAGACAGTGACTGAGAGGGTGGGCGCTCCTGGCTCCAGCCTTAGATGGTAACACAGTTTTTCAGCCTTTTCCCTACTTGAAGTTTGAAAGCCTGGAACAGGTAGCCCAACTATCTGACCTGAAAATCACTCTTTCTTTTTGCCCTTATTTTCACTCTGGTGAGACTATAAAACACAGAGCACTCAGGCAGGGAGGGGTAAAGTGAGGGGCCTGGATGGTCTCATAGCCACGGTGGTGTCCCCAAGAGCACATTCATTTGGCAATGGGTCTTACCCCTCTGCCAGCCTTGAAGGCTATTGTGGTACTGCATAAAACAGATGCGTTTACTGCTTAGTTTTAAACACAAAGAAATGGAGCCAAGAATTCCTGGACTGTTGAGAAATCCCAGAAACCAGAGGTACAGGGGTACAGTCTAAATCAACAGAAACTCCT